TATTAGGAATTGTAAGTAATGCAGAGATGATTTAAAGAATATGGAAGGATTGCATAGGTTATATGTAAATACTGTGCCGTTTTATATAAGAAACTTGAGCTTCCCTGGCTTTCTGTATCCATGGAGGGTCCTGGAACCAACCCCCTATGGCTACCAAGCGATAACTGTACGCACAGGTCCAGCCACTCCCTGGTATGTCTGGTGTCATCCACCCTCCATAGACAGATGGTTTGCAGAAAACCTCTGATCATTAGCCACAACACAGAAAGCCAGTTCCCTGACCCCCTCTGGTATAAAGGAAAGAACAAGAAGGTTGGAGTGGAAAGACACACATTTCTTAACTTTGATTATTCCAGCTGACAAGACTTATCACATCCCAGCTGTTTAATCACTTCCTTCTCTGCGCCTCAGTTTTCTCATCTGTAAGATGGGGACAATGTTTATACCTGCCTCCTGGGTCTGTTGGGACAGTAAGTTGATGTCATGTAGATGAAAGCGCTATATAAACTGTAATATCCAATGCACTTTTTACTGTGCCTTGGGACATAGTAGTGTGTGAATGTCAGAATGGCCTGGGCTGGAGTTCCGCTCTACCACTGACAGGCAAAATAGCCTCGGGTAAAAGTCCCTTCTCTGAGCCTCAGTTCCCCATGTGTTAGGCAGAACTATTAATAGTATCTACAACTCATGGGCTTGTTTTAGAAATTAAATAAGGATTAAATGGTATAAGTGCCTGGCATACAGTAGGTACTCAGCAAATGTTCTTCCTCAAATACAAACACACACACAGCCCTTAAAGCCGTCTGGGTAACAAAGGGTTCTCAGTCTGCAGTCGAAAACTGGCAGCCAATGAGCTTTCTCTCCAGTTTCTCTTCTGTTAGAGGAACTCACTGGCCAGAGTCCAGGATGGTCACTGATGTGGAGGACAGGCAGCCAACTGCTAGCCTCCCCCATGGAATTTCCAAAAAAGTATGAGCACAGAGTTGCATAACCTGCCCCTGAGACACGTGTCTCCGCTAAAGTGTCCTCGTCAAATATTCCCCAAAAGGGAACATGTGAGCAGGGCAGTAGGGCAGTCCAGGGGAGGAAGAAGGAAGGGAGGGAGGGATCCAGGGAACTTGAGAGTAGGGAGAGAAGGCACTACATTTAACAAGCTCCTACTATGTGCCAGGAATGAGGCTTGCTCTGATACCTAGCTAGAGCCTTGCCATAAATCTAAGATCAGGTATTTTCACCCCTACATTCCAAAGGAAGAAATAACAAACATTAATATTGCTACCGTTTACATAGCGCTGACTGCATATCAGGTAAGTGGGCTAAGCACATATTTGGTCCTCAGGACAGCCTGTAGCATGGGTACTATTCTGAGCCTCATTTTATAGAAGAGGAAACCAACTGGGACTTACACAGATGAAGTAAATTCCCCAAGGTTACCCAGCGAGACAGTAGTAGAGCCAGTTTTAGACCTATGGGAAAACATTTCCAAAGGGACTTATGGGGGTGGATCCAAAAAGTGACCCTAGCAGTTGTCCTTACATGTCCACAGTGGGGCCCCAGTGTGGAAGTGACGTAAGTGACCAAGTGACCAGAGACACTCCCTTCCCCTCCACCTGGAGGACAGTTTGTCCCAGCTTGTGGCTGTTCGTCATACTGCCTCTGACCTAAAGTTTAAAATTTCATTCATAAGTTTGGAACCACAGACTTGGCAGGGTGGGAAAGGCCCTCAGAGACCAGCTATTCTAGTCCAACTCCCTCACGTTACAGAGGGAAAAAAAAACCTGAAGCCTGAATGTGACACTCCAAGGTCACAGAGTCGTTTTCTGTTTAGGTGGAGGAATTGGTTTGGGGTTAACTGCAGATCATCTTGTTCTGTACTTACCAAATGTGTCTGTACTTCTTTATAATCACTTGGGGAGCTTTTTTTTTTGAGTTGGAGTCTCACTCTGTCGTCCAGGCTGGAGTGCAGTGGCATGCTCATGGCCACCACAGCCTCGTCCTGCTGGGTTCAGGTGATCCTTCTGCCTCAGCCTTCCAAGTAGCTGGAACTATAAGCACGCGCCACCATGCCTGGCTAATTTTTGATCTATTGTAGAGATGAGAACTCGTCAAAGTGCCCAGGCTGGTCTCAAACCTGAGGACTCAGGCAATCCTCTCACCTCGGCCTCCCAAAGTGCTGGGATTATAGGTGTGAGCCCCTGCACCTGGCCTGGGGAACTCTTTTAATATGTGAATTTGTACACTCTGCTTTTGGAGAGTTAGACTTAGGTTTGTAGCAAGGCCTGGGAATCTGAATATGCAACATGTTCCTCAGGTGATTCAGATGGCACAGGGCCACATACTGCATCTGGAAGTGAGTCCAGTGTTCCTCTTTCATTTCATAGTTTGGGATAGTGGGACTCAGCAAGGGACTTGCCCAAGGTCACATAGCAAGACAGTGTGGCTCTAGCTGTGGTTCTGTGGTCTGAAGCAGGCAGCCTGTGGCCAAATTTCAAAACGGGCGGGCCAAGGAGGCTAAACGGGAGATTCCGTGATTTCCCCAGCACTTGGTTTTCTTGTTGTATCCAAATTGAGACCGAGATGGTGTCCGTTTCCTGGGCTAGGCAAGGTGGAAATCCAAAAACTAAACTCCCAAAGGGAAAAGGAAACAGCAAAAGGCTATCTTGCAGTCCTGTGGGGTTTTCCCAGAGGGGTGCTCTAGGCTTCAAGGATGAATCAGACACCAGCTATCCAGCCTGCCCCAACGCCTCTGCTACCTGTGTTTTCCATTTCAAGAGAATGCGTAGGGAGGGCCTGCCCTGTTGGGGAGGAGATGGGTGGAGTAAGCCCAGCTGTGACGTAAAAGGGGCGGGCTCCAGGAAGAGCCACACATTCCAGCACCTGCTAGGAAGACGGAGCTTTTGTTTGACAGTAACTGTCAAACTCTCAAGCCCTTTCCTAAGCCTTTCCTCCCACTTCTCCCTTATCTGTCACCCCAGGGCTAACTGAGCAGAGTTTCACTGCTCTTTTCCATTCCTGCTACTCTACCACCTGACTATTTTACTCCCTTTCCTCCGCTTCCATTCCCTCCCCTCCCCTCCCTTCTTTTCTTTCAATCTAGAATGGCATCTTGATGTCTGGAGACAGAAGTCCTGGGTTCGAATCCCAGCTCAGCTTCTTCTGACCTAGGTAGTCACGACGCCCCCCAGCCTCAGTTTCCTCACCTATAAAAATGGGGATAATAGCTACAATTTCAGGTTGTGAGGATTAAAAAAGATCATGTAGGCACTTAAGAAACAGAAGATGGCTGGGCTTGGTGGCTCAGCCTGTAATCCCAGCACTTCGGGAGGCCGAGGTGAGAGAACTGCCTGAGCTCACGGGTTTGATATCAGCCTGGGCAACTTGACGAGACACTATCTCTACAAAAAAATAAAAAATAGCTGAGGGTGGTAGCGCGCGTCTGTAGTTCTGGCTGCTCAGAAGGCTGAAGTGAAAGGATCGCTGGAGCCCAGAAGGTTGACGCTGAGGTAGCCATGAGAGTGTCACTGCACTCCAGCCTGGGTAATAGAGTGAGACTCCAACTCAAAAAAAAAAAAAAAGGAAAGGAAACAGAAGATGTTTTCTCAGAAACACTAGATCATATGAATAATCAGTGGACCAGAGGAATCTGAATATACATTTGTGAACTGGCACTGAACTGTGGTGCCTAAAAGAATGAACTGGAAAGCACCTTAAAACTCTTTGGACCTTGACTGGGTGCAGTGGCTCACACTTTTAATCCCAGGACTTAGAGAGGCTGAGGTGGGGGGGATCGCTTGAAGCTAGGAGTTTGAGACAGGCTGAGCAACATAATGAGACCCCATCTCTACAAAAAAATTAAAAAAAAAATAAATCATTGGGTCTTAATAACTTTCAAACTGAAGTCCAAGTGAACTGTTTACAGTATTTCAAAATGATAAGGGAAATCACATACTTTCTCTTGATAAAGTCTCAAGTTTCTTTACTTTTGTCTGGAATTGTACCAACTCAAGGTGATAATATGGCTATCACATGCTGTTCAGAAATACTGATTGGCATTTACATGGCTCTTTGATAAGTCTTTTTAAAATGGGAAAATAATTAGTGGAAAGTAGATTAAATGTTGGAAAACGTTAATCCTGTTCAGCTCCTCATTTCGTAAACAGGGAAGCTGAGGTTGAAAGAAGGAAGTGGCTTGCTGGTCACACTTGGTGGTAGAACTGGCTCTAAAACCCATGTTCTTTTTCTATAACCAGTTACTTCCCTTCTTTCCACTCCAGAGAGAAGGAACCAAACCTAGGATCAATGAAGTTCAGGGGTGTTGGACTGCTGGAGCAGGAATAAGTGAGTCATCAGTTTGTCGTTGCTTTTTCTCTGTTCTTGACTCACTCAGCAAATATTTACTGACTGTCCACTATTCGGATTCAGAGAAGACAGATAAAATAGTCATGGTGGCAGGCAGGGTCAGGATTTGCTCCCAGGTATGACTTCAGAATCCGTGCTTTTTTCCACTGGACACCTACATTTAAAAACACCCACTACTCTGCCTTCTAATATAGTTAGACTGAGTCTGAGGTCAGGGACTGTCTCATTCCTACATGTCCTAAGCTTCCTGGCACCCATTAGGTGCCAAATCAATGCTGTAGTGTTGAAAACACCTGAATTTTAATCCTGACTTTGCCACTAATTCTGTGTCTTAGAGATAGTATGATGCTTTCCTTTCCTGGCTTAGCTTAACCATCTGTGTAACGAGAACAGTGGCAAAATCCTATGTGGAAGAGCTTATTACTGACTCTAACTAGAGGAAAACATTGGGAATCTAGGCTGAATGTAGAATCCACGTGCATCACTTCATTAATTCCCGAACATCGCTATTTCGCCCAAGGCCGCCTCCCTTCTCATCTCCCCACAGTTGCCCTCCTTTTTCTCAAAATCACCCTCTAGAGGGCGCGCAAGCTCTGCGGCTTTCCTGCCTCACTTCCGTTCGCCTTCACGCTTCATTCTGCGCATGTGCAGAGTTGGTTTCCCGGCTGCTCGTACCTCATTTAGGTGGTTTAGTCCAAGGTTGCAACCACTACGCCTGCGCAGCCTCAGTCCCGCCCCTCCGCCGTCGTTCCCGGAAACGCTTTCTTCCTACGCAGCCGCTCCAGCCGCTGCGGTGGCCGGAGCTTTGCCTCTCTAGGCTGGCAGGGCCTCTCCTCCATGGTCCTGTCTGTCTGCACTGTTTCGGGAGCCAGCCGGTGAGGCCTGGCCACGCTCGGACGCTTAGATCCTCGAGTCTGTTCCTGGTGAGTGGACCCCAGAAGAGCTTGTGTACGGGCGGGGGCTGAGCAGCCGGAAAGGGCAGGATGTCTCCTCGCTCTGAGAGTGGGTCTGTCCGCCCCGCCCTCCCCCCAACTCCTGGAATGGGCTCGCCCCCTCCGTTCCAGTCCCTCCTCCCGGACTGGGCGGCGTTGCCATGGCGACGGGTCGCTGGCTGAAGCCCTGCCTGTGTCCCTGCAGGGCATGGCGGGCCAGTTCCGCAGCTACGTGTGGGACCCGTTGCTGATCCTGTCGCAGATCGTCCTCATGCAGACCGTCTATTACGGCTCGCTGGGCCTGTGGCTGGCGCTGGTGGACGGGCTAGTTCGAAGCAGCCCCTCGCTGGACCAGATGTTCGACGCCGAGGTAAGGTCCCGGGCTGCTGCGGGTGGGGTCTCGGCCTCCGGAATAGGCTTTGTGGTATGACACTCCTGGGCTTTAGACCCGGCTGGGTTACCTTCCTGCTTTATGATCCTGGGAAAGGGAGTTCACCTTTCTGACACTTAGCTGCCCCATCCATAAAATGGAATGACCGACAACAGAGTGCAGTGTAGTCCACAGGAAAGGGCATGGATGTTACAGTAAACACGTCTGCGGTGCAGGCAGCTCTGATACATCTCCTTTCTGAGACTCTGGGAAAATGATTTTACTTCTCCAAGCCCAGATTCTCAGGTGCCACACTGGGGAAAGGGATGGAGCAAAGGGCACTAATGGGGATACAGGAGAAACTGCCTGGACTTTGGGGTCAGGCAGACCTCCGATTAAGTTTCACTTACTAGCAGTGTGATCTGAGGCAAATGTCACTTCTGTGAACTTGTTTTTCTGTCTTCAAAATCTTGAGGCTAGTTACAGAGAGGTCATGGAAAGAGCATATGCTTTGGATTTAGAAAGACTAGGGTCCAATCTAGGCCCAAACATACTAGCTGTGGGAACTTGGGCAAGTCGCTTTACCTTTCTGAGCCTTTTTTCTTCTAGTAAGTGGGCAGAATACTCCTGCCATGTCACCTTCGACAAGGCCTAGAGGGGCTTAGGATTACAAAAGTGCTTTATTAAGTGTAATGGAGACCTGTAAGTTACTGCATCTGAGAGGCAGCTGTGGTGTGTGGTATTGAGACCAGTCCTTGGAGTCAGAAGACCTGGGATGGAGTCCTTGCTCCTGCTGCTTATTCTTTGTGCAACCCTTGGGCAAGTTATGATCCAAAAAGAGGGAATAATAAAAAGAAGAAAAATGGCTTTACAACGTTTTTGTAAGGATAATATGAAATTATGGATGTTATAGGCCTTCCTTTGCCAGCTGAAAGTGTGGTGCAGATGTTTTGCATTCAATAGCATTGTGTTGGATATCGGATGTTGCACACTCAACCAGGTGTCCAGTAGCCTTTTAGGAGCCTTTTAGGAGCCTCTATAATCTTGGAAAGGGCATGTGGGAATCCTGGGCTTTGCTGAAGAGCTATCTGATACATACAACCTGAGTTCTAGACCCAGGGACAGCAAGCCTTTCCTTTAAGCGTGAGACAGTCAAGATTTTAGATCACAGCTACTCAGCTCTGCCACTGTAGCACAGAAGGAGCCATAGACATTTGTAAGTGAATGGGAGTGACTGGTTTTTTTTTGTTTTTTGTTTTTTTAGTCAGAATCTCACTGTCACTCAGGCTTGAGTGCAGTGGCATACTCATGGCCTCTGCAGCCTCAACCTGCTGGGCTCAGGTGATCCTTCCACCTCAGCCTTCCAAATAGCTGGAACTACTAGCACGTGTCACCATGCCTGGCTAATTTTTTTTATTTATTGTAGAGATGAAGTCTCACCAAATTGCCCAGACTAGTCTTAAACCGTGGGCTCAGGCAACTATGTTTCAATAACACTGTTTATAAAAGCAAGTGCCTGGCCTATGCATAGAGCCATAGTTTACTGAACCTTGTTCTAGATCATACTCTTGCTGTTTATTTACTGTACACTTTGGGCTACTTAACATCTCTGAGTTTTTGTGTCTTCCTTTGTAAAGTGAGAGTAATAATCCCTTTCCACCTGTCGTGGTGGTGAAATGAAATACCATAATGAGTGTCTATGAAAGTAATTTGTTGGCTGCCATACAGATGAAGGGAAGTATTGCCTTCTGTGCTCTGGGAAGGATGCTTGTTCCTTATGAGACCTGCTAGGATCCTGGAGCCCAGAGCTCTGCCAAGTCACTTCTCCAGCATATTTCCATTTGTGATTCCCCCTCAGATCCTGGGCTTTTCCACCCCTCCAGGCCGGCTCTCCATGATGTCCTTCATCCTCAACGCCCTCACCTGGTGAGTATCACCAGTTTTGCTATCCAGCTTTTGGGTTCTTAGCACTGGGACTAACATCCTAAGTTAAACACGAGACAGGCTGGCACTTGTTCCTGGGGAGTGGTGGACTAAAGTGGGTGGCAGAGGCCAATTCTGGGACTGGCTGTATCATAGGGCTGTTCCCATTGCTATTTTGACTTATATGGAAAGATCTTATGTCACTCTGTGTGTGCTGCCTGCAAGAGAACTTCTGTCTCAGATCACTTCCCTGATGTTGGAGTAAGGTGAGGAAGGGTTAGACCGAGAGTCAGGAGAACTGGATTCGATTCTTGGTTTGTGTGCCAATGACCAAGTTACTTCCTTCCTCTCTGAGCCTCAGGCTCCTTATCTGTCCATGAGGGGTTGGACTGGGTAATGTTTAAGGTCACTCCTGGCTGTTTTCTCTTAAGAGCCAGTTTAGCATAAGTGATCAAGATCTCAGGCTCTGGAGGCAGACTCACTTGGCTTTGAATCTCAATTTTGTTATTAATCTAGTGACTTTGTACTAAGCCCCAGTTTCTTCATCAGTAAAATGGGGCCAGTAGTACTACCTACCTCGTAGTTGTAAGGATTAAATAAGTTAATTCACAAGAAGTACTTAAAGCAGTGCCTTGCATGTTATTATTATTATTGTCCTTACAATGGAGGTTGAAAACTGGTGAGCAGACCTTGACCTAAATTTGTCTCCCACATAGGTTTTGTTTGGCTTACACAGATGTCAGCTGATGCATATTTAAAACTTTTTTCACTTAATTGAAAAATCAAGATATTTTATTTAGAAATCCAGATTTCGGTCTTCTCTTGAATAATGGAATGATCAACTGATTTCAGGCCCACCTTCTCGTATGACAAGATTTGCCTAGATGCAAGGAGCGATTGCCCCCATTTTAGCTGGAACATTGTATGTCTCAGCATCCCCTGGTGACAGTTGCCCTTCATCATCTAGCTCACACTCAATCTGCTTCCCTCTTGTCATTACCTACCAGGTTCCTCTAGGCATCCAAATCTGTAGCCCTTGCTTCACATTTACTTCACTCACTTCTGACCACTGTGCTGTTATCTTAATTGTCCTCACCCTCCCAGATAACCTAATCTATGGCCAGGACAACCCAGTGACAACTCACTGCTGTCCTCTCCCCACAGTGCTCTGGGCTTGCTGTACTTCATCCGGCGAGGGAAGCAGTGTCTGGATTTCACTGTCACTGTCCATTTCTTTCACCTCCTGGGCTGCTGGTTCTACAGCTCCCGTTTCCCCTCGGCGCTGACCTGGTGGCTGGTCCAAGCCGTGTGCATTGCACTCATGGCTGTCATCGGGGAGTACCTGTGCATGCGGACGGAGCTCAAGGAGATCCCTCTCAACTCAGCCCCTAAATCCAATGTCTAGAATTGGGCCCTTTGGACACCCTGCTGGCACTTGGGCCCCGCAATACTTTGGTCCAGCCCAGGTCTGAGGGGAACCCTGGAAATGTGAAGTCTCTGATGGTGTGGGAGAAGTAGGGCGGACCCGTCAAGAAGGCAGGTAGCAGTCAGGATCACAACTGCAAGAATGGCCTGTGTTTGCTGCACCTTGGGGTCTGGGAGGTCAGGAAGGGGACCTCCGTTGAGGGTAATTACAGAATTGGAACCATGCTACTCTTGAGCCACCATACCTGTCACCAGCCTGTTATTTTAAAAAAGAAAAAAAAATCAAGGATATCTGATTGGAGCAAACCACTCTTCTGATCATCTGTCTTACCTCTCTGGAACAACTGTTACCTTTGCCATGTTGCTGAACCATTCTGTTTGGAGAAACTCTTGGTTTCCGAACCCTTAGCCACAGAAAGATATAGATGAAAAATATTAGGTTGCTGTCAGGGAGAGGACGGCAGATGGAGGCATCAAGCACAAGGAAAATGCATAACCTGTGTCCTGTTACACGCTTGTGTGCGTGCACCCAAGAACCCATGACTTGCTTCCAGTTCCCACTACTGAATCCCCACCCTGCTGCCATCTCTCAGCATAGCAGGCTGTAGGACCCAGAGAAGAATCTCAGCATCGCTCAAGGTCTAATCCTCATCATAGAGACACTGCCTGTTCTCTAGGAGTGATCAGGCACCCCGCCTCCCAATCCTTCCTTATTTAGAATTCTGTGGTGGGAAGGGTATGACGGGTGCCCAGAGACAAGAAGCCCAACCTTCCAGCCCGGGCTGCACTGATTGGGCTGAAGGAGTTAGGAATTTGCTGCTAAGATTTTTCTTTGGGTTGTAGTTTGCTCTGTGAGGGGTTTGCAACTATCCTGTACATAAACACAGTATTTTCCACAGTTCTGCCTGCACTTACTTTGTAATGCCATGGTTAACACTAAGAGAGATCAGCACAGCCAGGCAAGGGAACTACAAAGAATTATTAGATCATCTTCTCCTTACTTGGACCCCAGAGTCATTCCTCCATTTGTCAGAATACTAAATGTGAGGAACTCCTGAGTCCCACCCCCTCAACTTGTGGCTTCCTTTGCTACACCTCAAGTGCACTGTGAGACTCTTGGGATTCCTATCCCACCTTGTTAGTGATTCCTGAACATGTATAGTGGAGCGTGCTGCTCTAGACCCACTTCTGCACTGAAACTTCAAGTGTTCCTCTCTGGTTTTTCCAGAGCTTGCCCAAGAGAGCTGTCAGTTTTCAGTGTTATGGCCACATAGATGAGTTTTTTGTTTGTTTGTTTGTTTGGAGTCAGAGTCTCACTCTGTTATCCCGGCTGGAGTACAGTGGCACAATCACGACTCACCACAGTCTCAACTTCCTGGGCTTAGGCGAGCCCGGCCTCAGCCTCCCAAGTAGCTGATACTACAGGCATGCGCCACTATACTTAGCTATTTCTTTTTCTTTCTTTTTTTTTTTTTAAATAACAGAAATGAGATCTCACTATGCTGCTTAGGCTGGTCTTAAACTCCTGGGAGCAAGCAATCCACCCACCTCGGCCTCCTGAAGTGCCGGGCTTATAGGTGAGAGCCAAAGCACCCAACCCCACTGAGGAATTTTTTTAAAAAAATCAAATTCCACATCAGTAAAGTTTACTAAACTGGTAGGATTAGAAATAATATATTTGAATGTGTGTATCTCTTGTACATCTTTTATTAATTTTAATTTTAATTTTTTTTTGAGTTGGAGTCTCACTTTGTTGCCCAGACTAGAGTGCAGTGGCATGCTACCGGCCATGGCAGCCTTGACCTGCTGGATTCCGGCACTTCTTCTGCCTCAGCCTTCCAAGTAGCCAGAACTATAGGCATGTGCTACCACACCCAACTAATTTTTGATTTATTGTAGAGATAAGGTCTCGCCAGTTTGCCTGAATGGGTCTTGAACCTGCGGGCTCAGGCAATCCACTTGCCTCGCCCTCCCAAAGTGCTGGGATTATAGGCAGAGCCACCGAGCCTAGCCTAAAAATGTCAATAGCTTTGGAGGATACAAACAAATTTTGGCCTGGGATTTAAGAGTACCCACCATCCCCGCTTGTGCACATTGTACCCAATAGGTGATTTCTGTTTTGTCCCTCCACCCCTTCCCACAGATGAGTTTTTATTTCTCCTTGGGAAGCCCTTCTAATTCCTGACTGTCAGCCCTACAGTGTAGGGGGTTGAGGCTGACAGGATGAAGGTTTAAGAGTGATGAACATGCCTGGGCAGAGGCTGGGAAGGTGTTAAGGTGAGGCACCTCAGTAACTCAGGGTGGTCTGGCCAAGCTGGAAGCAAGCAGCTTGCTAATGGGAAATTGTAATACTGACTGCAAGGTCCAGGAGGTAAGGCCAACTGGGATGACTTTCCCTGGGTTGGTGAATTTCCCCTCACTCTACAAGCATGTGACTAACTTGCTTTATTTAGAAGGCATAAGAACACATATCACGTGGCTGCTGTCTTCCTTTACCAGCTGTGGTAGTGGTTACTCCAGCTGTGGTTGGAACACCTCTTTGGGATTCCCTTCAGGGACTTGTGCCCATATTTCTGCATATCTTCTGTGATGACAACTCTCCATCCCTTGAGTATTAATTTGAATTTTGAAAACTGCCAAACTGGGAGCCAATTTTTTTTTCAATGATATAGAGACTGAACTGAGCAACAGTTAAGTATAAAAAATATGTGAACTTCATGAGATTTTTATAATTTCTAAAGAAACAATAAGAGCAGTTTCTAGGGGTGAGTTCCATAGAGTACTGGGCTTTGGCAGTAACATGTGTGTTATTCTAATAATAAATAGCATCTATTGATTGCTTAATAGGTAACCAGCAGTGGGCTAAGTGCTTTATGCCTTCCTTCTCACTTAATCTTCATAGAAACCCTCTGAAGTAGAAAATAGCATCATTTGTATCTTACAGACAAAACTGTAAGGAACTTACCCAAGGTTATTTGTTAGGAGCTGGCAGGATTTGGACTCTGGTAGTGATGTTAATAAGCTAATTCTAAGCCGGGCTCGGTGGCTCAGTCTGTAATCCCGCACCTTTGGGAGGCTGAGGTGAGTGGATTGCCTGAGTCCGCGGGTTCGAGACCCGCCTGGGCAGCGAGACCTCATCTCTACAATAAATCAAAAAATCAGCCGGGCGTGGTAGCGCATGCCTGTAATTCCGGCTACTTGGAAGGCTGAGGCGGAAGGATCGCCGGAGCCCAGCAGGTCGAGGCTGCGGTGGCCGGGAGCGGCCACTGCACTCCAGTCTGGGCGACAGAGTGAGACTCCAACTCAAAAAAAAAAAAAAAAAAACCTAATTCTAAAAAGGTCAATAGTTAGAGATGTACAAGTTCTAATTGATTAAACTGTCTGTCACCTTATAATCATACCTTCTCATCCTTCTGTATTTTAAATACTCAGTGCTTGATAAACATTACTAGTCTTCTAAGAAACACTGATAGGCAGTGCATGAAATAGGGCTAGAGATTTCCAAGTGATCATAGGAAAGTAGGGAATGTTTTTCCAAAGGATAAAGGGTGGTACCTAGATCGGAAAATGACTTCCAGCCCACTCCTGAGTTAGCATAGCTCTTGACTTTCTAGGGATCTGGAGTCTCGACCGTCCTTCATCCCACCCACCACCTGAACTTGGGCCATTCAGAGAGAAATGGAGTCTACTGCATAACTGGTGCTCAGATTGTTTATAACCCTGAAGGAGGATGGGAGAGGAGAAAGGGATGCCTGGCTTAGAGGGCACATCTAACCCCTAGCTCAGGCAGCCCTGTCCAAGTCAGTGCCAAATTGGAGCCAAGACAGCAGCCAGTAGAAATTAGGGGGTGAAGTGGGATGCTCTAGGTCCCCCTAAATCCTGGAGGGTGTACAGCTCAAACAGGCTTTCCTGGGCAGGAGTCTCTTTGGACTCCTTCCTTGATGGTTCCCAGGTCAGGGTAGGTTCCTTTTGTTAGTCCCTGGGGGCACTCAGTACACAAGTGTCGAACACCTCCCTGTACCTGCAGCCCAGGGACCACAGAGACTCAGGGGCAGAGCCTCTGGGAACCTGGGGGAGAGGGAATAAGGGTGGATTCAGGGGGGAACTCCTTTGTGGAGAAGAGATTAAAAGCTATTATCTTGTTTGAGGTTGTCTGTAGGAAAGTAGTAAAGGGTGGTGAAGACAGCATTGAGGCGAGGGGAAATAGAGGGAACTGAGGATTTTATTTTATTTTATTTTATTATTATTTTTTATTTTTGAGTTGGAGTCTCACTCTGTCGCCCAGACTGGAGTGCAGTGGTCGCTCCCGGCTATCGCAGCCTCGACCTGCTGGGCTCCGACAATCCTTCCGCCTCAGCCTTCCAAGTAGCTGGAACTACAGACACGTGCTACCATGCCCGGCTAATTTTTGATTTATTGTAGAGATGAAGGCTCGCCAAGTTGCCCAGGCAAGTCTTGAACCCGCGGGCTCAGGCAATCCACTCATCTCAGCCCCCCAAAGGCGTGGGATTACAGGCTGAGCCACCAAGCCTGGCTTATTTTATTTTATTTTTATTTTTTATTTTTTGAGTTGGAGTCTCACTCTGTCACCCATACTGGAATGCAGTGGCTGCTCCCGGCCACCGCAGCCTCGACCTGTTGGGCTCCGGCGATCCTTCCGCCTCAGCCTTCCAAGTAGCTGGAACTATAGGCATGCACTACCATGCCCGGCTGCTTTTTTGATTTATTGTAGAGATGAGGGCTCGCCAAGTTGCCCAGGCGGGTCTCGAACCCGCGGGCTCAGGCAATCCACTCACCTCAGCCTCCCAAAGCGTGGAATTGCAGGCTGAGCCACTGATCCCGGCTGGAACCGAGGATTTTAATCCCCAGCCTGCCACTACTGAAGCCAGTGAGAATTAAAGGGGTCCCATGCTGGAAGGCTTACAGAGGTCTTGAGCCCCATTGCTAGCTATGAAATATTGGGCAAGCTACATAATCTCCCACTACTTTTCCTCATATGTATAATGAGGGCAGTAATAGCACTTGTTTCCCTGTGAAGATTCAATGCACATGTAAAGTACTTAACAGTTCTTGGTGCGTAGGAAGTGACCCATAATTCTAAGCAATTATAGTTATTAGGCTACCCCCACACCACCTGTTTTTCTCTGGGCCTTAGTGTTTTCAAATGTGAAACAGGAGATAGGCTTGCCTGTGATGTAGATACCACTCCCAAGTATTGAGCTCCTGTCTGTCATGCACTGCTGTGTGGTTTATGTATATTTTCACTTGATCCATTGAAATAGCCACCACTATTTTCCCAATTTTGCAGACAAAGAAATAGGATTGCAGGGTAAACAACTTCTCCCTGTCAAACGTCTGATAAGAAACTGGGCCTGTCTGTCTCAAAAGCCTTGTCCTCTTCACATTCCTATTATGTTTGAATAGTACATGATCCAGACAGTCAAGAGAGGGGACGGTCTTGGGAATCCAAATGCCTTAGTAACAAAAGGCTGTGAATGTGAACATAAGCTTGGCTTGTTAACAGGCAGCTAGTTCCCTAAAGGTGGGTAGTTAGATAGCTGCTTATAAGTGAGAAATGTGGCCATTACAAGTCACAAGTTTCATTATGGCAGAGGGCCAGGAGGGTGGTATGGTGTGGGAAATGGCCGTGCATTTATTAAAAGCAGATGAAATAAGCTCAGAGAGATCATGTGACTTGTTAAAAGTCACTCAATAGAAGCTCCAGTTCAAACATTAAAATTTTTTTCCCCAGTTAACAGGGAGGGCGGGGCACAGTGGCTCATGGCTGTGATCCCAGCACTTTGGGAGGCCAAGTTGAGAGGATTGCCTGATCCCATGGGTTCCAGACCAGCCTGGGAAATGTGGCGAGACCTTATTCTACAATTAAATCAAGAAGAACACTTAGGGAGCCATTTCTGGAGTGGATTCCTCCCCCAATCAGGATTTCACTGAACCCAGAAGTGGAGCCTTATATTGAAGTGGTTAAACACAGGCAGGGTGATAGTGGGGAAACCCCAATTGTGGGAGCAGGTGGCCAGAGGCAGAAATGCCAGGGCAGGTGGGATAAGGCTGGAAGAAGCAGACTGCTGGGAGTCACCCTCAGATCTGCAGCCCTTGCTCCCCTGGCCATGTTGGATCCCAACCTCCACAGACAACCCCCCCAACCCAATACTCTGTGACATTTTCTATGGGCCGTGGACTGAACTCCGACTCTCTGAGGCAAAGTGGAAGATGCCAGTCTCGCCCAGACCCACCCCCATTCCTACTTCCACTTGGGAATCCCTGGGCAAGCTCCCCAGAAAGGGCTTGATATTTTGTTTGGGAGCATACTGCCCTGACTGCCCCCTGATAGCGTGCTCGGGACAGAAACCCACATAGATGGAACCAAAGGAAGATTGAGCAGAGGTTATTTTCGGAGTTTGGTGGGATTGAAGATGCCCGGCAAGGGAACCAAAATGGAGACTCAGGAAATGGGCTGGCGTGCAAGCTGAGCGGGAAGACAGCTGCAAGTGGAGGTTACTGCGTGGAGGTTGTGGGACAAGTAGCGGGAGTGGTGGCAGTGGAGGTGTGCACCGCAGGGAATCGCAGCGAAGGTTGCGCCAGAGCTTAAGAGCACGCAGCAGGGGCGCCCGGCCGCCTTCCCGAGGCTAAGCTGCAACGTGTGGCCCTAAGCAGTCCCCCAGCCATGGCTCTGCTCAGGCTGTTCCCGGCGACCCCGGGGGAGCCAGCCCCACCGAGGCCCAGACATAGGAGCGGTGAAAGCGGACAGGGTGAAAGAGAGCCCCTCCGATCATTCTTCTTTTCACCCAAACTGTAGATGTCTATTACTGTCTGACTCCCTCCAGGGAGGGCTCTGTGCCCCTCGATGGCTCCGCTGCTCTCCCGAGAGCACCCACTCCGAGCAGCCTGCATCCGGGGAATATGGAGGTCTTCATAAGGTGAAAAGCGTCCTCGGCTTTTCTTCCTTACCTGCGCGTTCAGGGCCCTGTGTCCCCTACCGACAGAGGGCGACGCCGACCCGATGGGGTTGACCTTGGGGTTGAGGGTGGACAAGCCATGCCACACGGGACCATAGGGGCACAGTACCAACGCCCCACCAGACCCGGTGCTTTCCGTGATGTGACCCAGGTGGGGCACATTTGGAGGCCCAACTGACACCCATTTATTGGCACCAGATACATCGACGATCAGAGCTCAATGCCGGTGCGTGACCGGATGGATGTTGGGCGACTCCGCCGCCCGATGACTCATAGGCAGGCTTTCATTTCGCCTTTTTTCTCTTCTTGGGAAAATGAAATGTGGAGCAGCCGGGAGACCTAGGTTAGAATTCTTGTCCCTGCCACTTCCTAGCTGAGTGAGCCTGAGCAAGTTACTTTCTGGCTCCGCGCCACAAATTCCCTCTTCTTTGCTCGCAGGGCCATTGTGAGGCGCCCGGCACCCAGGAAGCACAGTGCAAATATTCCCCTTCTCTGACTTCATAGAGCCGAGTGCACCACTCAGGAGACCGGCTCGCGGAGGTGGGGGAGGGGTGCCACTCGCTGGCTTCTTTGTTCGGTTCTAGATTCACCCTGGGGCCTGGGGGTGGGGCAGGGTAAGACTGAAATCTAGACATGCTGCCTCTCCACTTCCACCGAGGGCCTCTTTCTTCCAACTTTTCCTGCCCCCGACAAACAGGCAGGATCAGCGGTATTATTCTTCGGTGCCATATGGAAGATTTTATTTGTAGACTCGTGAATTTCCCCCTTCAGCTGATCGCGCCATCACCACCCTCTGCTCGCACCTCCGGTTCCCATCCAGGGTCACATCACCTGTGAGCAGAGACCTCGGTGTTAGGCACTAAGACCGTCCCCAGGGGGCGCTGTCATATGGGGAGCCGGCGGTTGGACAAGGTTGCTGAGGTATCTGGCAGGTTGGAGGTGGATTTGCACTCATCCCCTTCCTTTCATGGGACCTCAGTTTCCCATGAAGGGGCTGGAGTATCTTTTTCTTTGAATTTTCTTTTGCTAAGAAAATTTTGTTTAGAGTAAATCTTGAGGCACGAATAAATCAAACATGAATGAAGAGTTTGGTCTAAGAAGGGATGAGATGGTGCAAAGCCCTACTTGACCACTTCCCTCCTCCCACATTTGTAAATCCTAAGCACCTCTGACCCCGAGAGGCCTCAGCCTAGCCACTACCCTGCTGTGTGGCCTTGGTCAGTGGCTTCCCCCTCTCTGGGCTTGAAGGTAGAGCCTGCCAGCACTGCCAGCCATAGTACTCAAGACTCTAGATCCTGAACCCTGACTCTGGGCCTAGCTTGGGGCCTACATCTCACCCTAGCAGTGGTGTTGTCACACCCACTCACACCCACCTTGTATGGACGATATATAGGCAATTCAAGTGATGCAGCACATAAGCGGGTGCAGCAGCGCTTGACCCAGCGCCAGGTGGAGGGTCTGCACATCACCCGGGGTGCCGGGACATGGACTCGACTGGGCAGCCCCTCAAACCAGACCCACTGGTCAGCTACATCCAGTTGCTTCATATCCCCCGTGGGAGTTCCATGGTGGTGGGACTTCAGGAAGATGACTTGGGGGCCCTCAGTAAGTAGTTGCCTCCTCTGGGCTCCAGCATTTAGGCCATGACCCCTCAATGTCCTTGGGACCTTAGGCTCTCTCTGCTTTTCTTTACGTGGCACTGCTGCAGGTGACCTGTTTGCCTTGTTCCTCATCCCTGATGGCACCTTAGGCTTCCACTCCTTGGGCTTTGTTTCCTTAGGTTCTGCTGTGGACTCTGATTTCTCGGACTCCAGTTCCTTGTTGGGGCACCCAGTCTCCTGGACCTCTGTATTATTTAGTTTCACTTTATCGCAGACAATGTTTTCCCTGACAGGGATAGGAAAAGAAAGACGGTCAGCAGAGCAGAACTAAGGCCTGGTCCTCTGGTCTAGTCCTGAGAAACAGTAGCTATGCAGCCAGCTTAGGGGAGCCTGTTAAGAAAGCTAGAGAGGACCTGGAAAGAAACTTCTCTACTGTCCAAGGGCCTTGTGCCTGGTGGTAGGGGATGTGGTAAGTATTGGCAGTAGTAGTTGGGACATCTGGGTATGTATATTGTATGCATCCTCCACTAGGTTAGGGTTTTGTCTCTCTGGACTTCTGTTAGGAGAATGAACAGGCCAATTTAAAAAAAAATGTGGTGGGGCATGGTGGCTCACGTCTCTACTCCCAGCACTTTGAGAGGCAGAGGATTGATTGCCTGCGCCCACAGGTTTGAGACCAACCTAGGCAACGTGGCGAGACCTAATCTCTACAATTATATCAAGAAAAATTAGCCAGGCATGGTGGTGCATGCCTGTAGTTCCAGCCACTTGACTGAGGCTGAAGGATCACCTGAGCCCAGCAGCAGGTTGAGGCTGTGGTGGCTGTGATTGTGCCACTGCACTCCAGCCTGGGTGACAGTGAGACTCCAACTCAAAAAAAAAAATGTATTCCAAGAAACCTTAGGGTTCTAAGGAGGTGCCTCAATGCTCCTCTCCCTACTACCCCACACCAACTGAGGTCGGGATAAGGGCAGGATACCTCTCACCCCAACATACAGGTGGAGCTTAGGGACGTATTTGTAGAGAGGTTTCACTGCTTAAAAAAAAGATTGCCGAGTTGGGTGCAGTGGTTCACACCTGTAATACCAGCACTTAGGGAGGCAGAGGCGAGAGGATTGCTTGAGTCCAGGGATTCGAGATCAACCTGGGCAACTTGGCTAGACCTCGTCTCTACAATAAATTTAAAAATTAGCTGGGCATGGTGGCGCATGTCTGTGGTTCCTACTTGGAAGGCTGAGATGGAAGGATCAGTTAAACCCAGCAGGGCAAGTCTGCAGTGGCTGTGAGCGTGCCACAGCACTTCAGACCGGGCAACAGAGTGAGACTCCTACTCAAAAAAGAAAAAAAAATGCTGGAAAATGGAGACCAGCAGATCCTGATTCTTTCAGCCTTGTTTCCTGACTGCTTGCATCTAGGTAGTATCTATGCTGAGATACTTCCAAAGGACTGGGACCCGCTGCTAAGCCTCTGGTGGCAGCACCATTCAAGCTGAGGGTGTATGTAAAGAGGTGAGGCCTGGGCTCAAGATAATGGCAATACTGATGATAATAATGGTCAGTGCAGATTGAGTGCCCACTCTATGCCAACTCTGCAGAGTAGAAGGCAGTGAAGCAGCAGAATGGCTTATGGAGCACAAGTTTTGGAGTCAGGCAAACTGGGGCTCAGATTCTACTTCTGCCTCTTACTGTCTGTGTGACTTGGGCAAGAAGTTGAATGTCTTTTTTTTTTTTTTTTTTGAGTCAGAGTCTTACTCTGTCGCTCAGGCTGGCATGCAGTGTCACGCTCACGGCCATCGCAGCCTTGATCTGCTGCACTCAGGCAATCCTTCTGCCTCAGCCTTCCAAGTAGCTGGAACTACAGGAATATGTCACCATGCCTGGCTAATATACTAATGATTTATTGTAGAGATGAGGTCTCGGCAAGTTGCCCAAGCTGGCCTCAAATCTCTCGGCTCAGTCAACCCTTTCACCTCAGCCTCCCAAAGTGCTGGGATTACAGGTATGAGCCACCATGTGGCTGATTTGGACAAGAAAGTTAATCTCTCAGAGTCCTAGTTTCATTATCTGTAAAACTGGAACAGCTCTGTCTACCAATAGAGTTGTGGTGAAGAATAAACTAAATGGGAAAATATTCATTAGCTGCTTAGCACGGTAGATGGCACCTAGCAGGCACCTAATAAATGTTAGCTTTCTTAGTATTCTGATGTAGGCTGGACGTGGTAGCTCATGCCTGTAATCTCAGCACTTTGGAAGGCCAAAGTGGGTGAATTGCTTAAGGCTAGGAATTCAAGATCAACCTGGACAACAGAATGAAACCTGTCTCTACAAAATTAAAACAACCAGCCCAGCATGGTTGCTCAAGCCTGTAGTTCCAGTTATTTGGGAGGCTGACGTAGGAGGATTGCTTGAGCTCAGGAGTTCAAGGTTGCAGTGAAATATCATTATGCCATTGTACTCCATCCTGGGTGACAGTGTGAGATCCTGTCTTAAAAAAAAAAAATCCGCCTGGCTCGGTGGCTCAGCCTGTAATCCCGCGCCTTTGGGAGGCTG